TCAGTTTGTTCCTTTGTGAACTATGACGAATTGTTAGCTGGATCTGTCCTAAGGGAGACTGCCCCAGAGTTGTTCCACTGCAAAAAAAAAGTAGAACGCTATCCTTAGTTTTTAAAACCGATATTTAAAGTAACACCTAACTGAAATACACACTGAGTAGTTTTTCCAGAAATTCTGTATTATGCATTTTTTTCACTAGAGCAATGTGAAAGAAGAGAGCACACGTTAGCATGTGAGCACATCTTCATCAGTTTCTTGTACTTCAGTTCCTCGTCCAACAGCTCTACTCTCCAAACTAAGCTCAGTATTCCTGTCAGTTTAGAGGTCCGCTGCTCTTCATTACTTCGAAAACCACGCCCAGAAAAGAACTTGCTTACCCTAGAACAAACATTAAAGCAGTATCCAGGAAACTGGAAGAACAATGGTGCAAACCGCAATGAAAAGCTCAGTGATGGGCCACGCTTACCTATGGCTAGGAACCAATCAGAAGACCAGCTCATTCTTTTCTAAATTCTCTAACGTAGAAATACTAATATTCTTGGCTTAAAATAGTGATATTGAAACCCACTTACTGTCTCAAAAGCTCAAATCACAATATAAACACAGCCATTTTACTTTTCTGTAGCTCATGCCACATTGAAAACAAATCAGAATCAATTTACACTTACAAATACAGGTCATGCTTAAATAAAAAGAAAGCACCATGATTAAGCAGTCCTGTTTTCTAAAGAATGGCCAGCATTTGCAGAGTTCCCTCATCTCTAGAAAATGCTGATTTTAGTTTGTGTAAACTATGAGTATTTTCCGTTTCGCACAGGACAGTACATGGCATGCTTGGTATTTCTCAACCAGCTGAGGGATATCTTAGCCTCCAGGGAGAGGCGTGCCTCTTGTGTGAATAGCTACTGCAAAGTGATTGCAGAATGTTCCATGAAAATTCCCAAGTCATTCACTTTAAAAACTAGACCAAAGCATTTCAGTTCAGTATTTTCTTTGTTAAAATA